AGATGGTGTCCTGCACAGCTGGGCCAGGGCCCAGAAGTACTATGAGAAGGCTCATTGCTTTATTAGATTGTTCCAAAATTAATTCAATTTATTAACTGCTCTAACTGCTCCAATCTTCCAGATGCTGCTGCCCCCATGAATGGCCCTGGTGGGTGATGCCAATGTGGAAACTGTGATGGGAGTTCCAAGCCACTCCACGTGAGATCATCACTGAAGAAGGGCCAGAACCATATTGGGTTCATTTTCTGAGTGAATCACACTGCTGCTTCCCTATTTTCTTTCCCGGGCCTTGAACCTGAGGCTTTCTGAATAGCCTGTTAGCATTTAGACTTTCTAATTTCTTTTTTAAAACATGAGGCTGAGTCAGAGAACCTCTCTTTTCTCTATAGATCCTTCCAGCAACAATTTTCCATAATCTTAGGAGTAGAGAATATTCTAACACCTTTCCTCTAGATTTAATTTTCTACATGTTGCGATATTTGAGCATTTTGCACAAGCTCCTTGGAATTTTTCTGCCCATCATTTCTGTGAGTTTGGTCATTCTGTGGGTGTGCAGGAAAGGGCCTGGGCCCAATGCCACCTGAGTGGGGAGACTATTGCCTCTTCATGGTGAGCTGCAGGGTGTGTGTGTGAGAGGGTAGTGTGAGGAAAGTGAAGAGATGGTCGATGGGAGTCTCAGAACTGATGAGGTAGAAGGTTGGCAGTCAGAAAACTCAACCATCTGGGCATGAATCCTTCCTCTACACCTAATGGGTGTGACACTGGGACAAGTCAATTAACTCCTGTGGGTCTGTTTCATTATTTATAAAATATGGGAGTGACACAGGGAGGATGCTAGGGTCTCTCATATATTGTTCTCCCCAAATAGACTTATCTGCTGCTTGAAGTAAAGCTAGGATTTCTACAATCTCATAGTCATGGTGCCCACTGAAGGGTCGGGCACATGATTCTATTGTTGGGCATGAATTCCGTTGCAAGTAACAGAAACCCACTAACAGTGAAACATACTGGGGTTTCTCTTCTCCTCTACAAGAAGACCAGGGATTTGCTGGGGTTGGTTCAGGTGCTCAATGAGGCACAGTTTTCCTTTCAGTTTTTCTTTTCTTTTCTTTAGTACTTTTTTTTGGTGAGGCTTTTGAGGACCTAGATTCTTCCCCTCCTCTACCCTGGGCATGTTGGCTTTTGTTCTCATTCTTGCCAACGTAGAGTCCAAAGGTAGCAGTCACATTGTTAAATGTCAAACCCACATTCAAGGCAGGAGAAAGGGGAAAGAGGTAGCACCAAACACTTCTGTCCTTTTAAAAATGAACATAAACGCTTTCCCTAAAGCCACATCTAGTTATATATCTCACTGGTGATAAATGGGTCGCAGGCCAATTGCTAGCTGAAAGGGATCCTGGGAAAGCAAGTGTCTGGCCTTCCAGCATCTATAGTGGGAGGTAGCAAGGAGAGGGAGGGGTAGTTGTGGCTGCTGGGCTCGACAAGTATTTTTATTTATTTCTTAAAGATTTTATGTATTTATTTATTGTGTGTGAGAGAGAGAGGGAGGGAGGAGAGAGAGAGAGAGAGAGAGAAGAGAGAGAGAATGTGGGGGGGAGGGGCAGAGGAAGAGTGAATCTCAAGCAGACTCGTGTAGAGTGTGGGGCTCGATCCCATGAACCTGAGATCATGACCTGAGCCAAAATCAAGAGTCAGATGCTTAACAGACTGAGTGACCCAGGGGGCCCCTGGGCTTGGCAAATATCTTCAAATAAATATGTCTCGAAAGTCAGCTGGAAATGCTTCTCTTTTCCCAAGAGAAATATACTGTGCGATTATTTTGAGCTGGCACTACATTGGATAGACTTTTTAGTTATTCACACTGCTATCTTGTTCTCACAGGGCAAAGCAGGAATGACTTGAGTTTCATATCACAGGTATAGGCAGGAGGAGGGACTGGAGGCTGGGTCAGAGTCCACGAAGAACTTAGCCCAGAGGGGTTCCACTCTGGTGTTTGCCTGAGAGAAGAACTTTGCACAAGCTAAGCTTCTGGTTGGAAAAGGCACTCCTTTCATGCCCTCTCACTGGTTGTGCTCCTCACACGGCCAGCCAAGTATAATGAGTTGAGAAGTTCCTGGTTCTGGCTGGCCTTCATTACTTTCTGATCCACACGCACTGACCTGACAATTGAACAGAAGGGTGCCACGTTCACAGACAGAAGGAAGCCGGCCAGAACGTGGCGTTGGGACACAGAATGCCATCTCTCCTCTTCACTGGGGGGCTGTGCTCTTAATAAGATGAAAAATGCAGGCATGGGGCTCCTGGGTGGCTCAGTCGGTAAAGCATCTGCTTTCGGCTCAGGTCATGATCCCAGCGCCCTTGATTGAGCCCATATCGGGCTCCCTGCTCAGTGGGGAGAAGGGGGTCTGCTTCTCCCTCCCCCCTGCTCTTGTGCTCTCTCTCTCGCTCCCTCTCAAACAAATAAATAAATAAAATCTTAAAAAAGAAAAAAAGGTGCAAGCAAATTGCTTAACAAGTGCCTGACACAAGAGGCACTTTCATAAATGCAAGATATTATGATTTTATCACTATTAATAAGAACGATGTTTCTTTTCTCCCTGCCCAGCTAACTAGCAAGGACCTCCTTTCCCCTGTATCACCCAAAGGTACTTGGACAAAATGCCAAGATCCGAGCTTGAACCACATAGTTCCCAGACTCCAGTTCTGCTCCCCTTGGCGTTTCTGGGCCGACCTCAGGCAGAAAGACACACTTGGACATTTTCTCAGGTGTGTCGAAAGTACTCGCGTTGGGTAAACTGTCATCACACAGAATTTGGTCTTTTTAGGAGACAACCTTGAAACCCTAATTATTGCTTTCAGGAATTTCCCCTTCATGGGAACCACTCTGTTTCCAGGTGGAATTTCATTCGATGGGTTTTCTGAACACAATGAAAGGGAAACTACAAGGGCGATCCCTGCATGAAAGAAGTTCAAAGTTCTCTGGCAGAGATCTCTTCTCACTGATGGGAGTACTTCTGAGCGCATCTCCGAATACTGCTGCCTTTACAAGCCTGACTTGGGTTTTTTGTTGTATTATACATTAACAGACGCGAAATGAAAGAGAGGTCAGTGGTTCAGCAGCTCGCGGTGCGGCAGTCACTGATGTTGGGAGAAAGCTGTGGGGTGTGGGCTTGCCTGTTGTTCCTTCCCTTCATCTCACAGGCCAGGAGGTTGTAAAGTCTAATGATTAAGGAGGCAGGTTTAGAAATCGGAGTCTTGAGTGTAGATCTTGACTTTGCCATTTTCCAGCTCTGCCACCTTGGGCCCATTACTTAGTCTTTCTGAACCTCATTTCCTTATCTACCGAGTGGGCAAATTCATACCCAACCCACAGCATTAATAGAAGCATTAAATGAAATGCTATATGAGAAGGCATTTTGCAAAGTGTTCAGGGGCAAGTTCGAAAGCCCAACCCAGACAACTTAAGCAAAAGGAGAATACACTGACTGACATCATTAAAACGGAGTTCAGGTGTGGCTAGATCCAGGGCCTCATACTCTGCCATTAGGTCCAAATTTCACTCAACTTTTATTCTGCTTCCCTCCACATTGGCTCTCTCCTCAGACAAATCCTCCCTTAGTGGGTCAAGGGGGCGGCAATAACTCTAGTCTTTCTAGCAGTTCCAGGAAAAGTGTCAATGCATCTTGTTGGCTTTGAATTATCCTGGAACCAAGGCAATGTTTTGGTTAGTCACATGCCCACGTCTGGAGCGAGGTATGGAGTCAATACCTCCTGCACAGAATGAGCCCTGGCTTCCAAGCAGAAAACTGAGGTGCTGTTGCCAAAGGAAGCGGGAATAGATGTTCCCAAAGCTGACTGCACACCAGAATGACCAATTTAAAAAAAACAAAACAAAACAGTTCTAGGAAACTGGCAGTGGATTCACTCAGCCTGGGGTGGAGCCTAGAAGTCTAGATTTTGAACAAGCTTTCGGGCTGCCAAGACTAGTGTTTGGGTCTCTAGGAGCCCCCCTCCCCCAACCCCCTGGCCATCCCTCCTCAGTTGCACTCCCCACTCTGAGCCTGATGGATCTGCTGACATCACCATTCCCTCCCAGGGTCTGAAGCCCCAGACGGCAGGGGCTCATGCAGCTCTGGGTACCCAGCCTGGAGTGAGCGCCCACAGCCCACTTGCTGAAGGAAGACAGGCAGGCAGACAGGCAGGCAGACAGGCAGCCTTCTCCCCTGTGGGCTCTTCTGGGAGAGAAAAGCTTCTGTTTTGGGAAGGGGCTGCCATGATGGAGGAAAGACTGTGGCAACAAAGGCGAGCAGGCCAGCAGGGGCGGACAAGGCTCACGGTTCCCTGGGCCACACACTCTTAGAAGACTCCTCCATAACTTGAATGATAAAGCATGACTGTATGCCGACCGCCGGGTCAGCATCAGATCCCCATTTTACAGACGATGAAGGGGAGGCCCCTGAGGGAGCAGGAGCAGAGTTGGGAAGTGACACAGCTGGGCCTGGGCAGCCTGGCCCACGTGACCACCACCCACATGCCCCCCCACCTCTCAAAGGGCTGGCACCAGGGCTCCAGGACAAAACACCATCCATATTTGCAAGGGGCCCATTTCCTTCCTAGTAGCATCCGGCAAACATAAGTCAACAGCAGAGGAAATCAGGGGAGAGCAAGAAAGAGGCCATTGTACACCTCTCCAAAAAGGCTCTTTTCTGCCGACTTCTTATTTCCCAGCTGTGTGCTGAAGGTCACTGGCTACGTCTGCACAAACCAGTGAAGTCACAAGAAGGAAAACTTGGCGGGGGAACCCAGGCGTGGGGAGGGTGGAGCTGGAGACAGAGGAGGGTGGAGTCAGAGGAGGAGGGGGCCAGGCCATTCCACACGCGGGGACAGGGCCTCCTGACCCTCCCTCAGTCAGCCCAATGGCTGGCTTTCCTGGCCGTGACCACTCCCGTGGGCTGGCTTCCCTGCACACCCACAAACAGCCCGGCCTCAGGAGTCTGCCTGCATTCCTGTGAACACTGGGTGCTGCTCCCTACTTCTCAGAAGGCAAGCTCTTTTGGAAGAGCTGGAAAGGTGGGTGCCTGGTTGAAGCTCCTTTCCTTCTTCTCCGAGGGTGCTTTTTATGAGCTTGGAACTGGGGCGGGGCGTCTGGCCTCTGCTTGGAAAAGCGCTTGATCATCTTTTTGAGAGGGACCCACTGAAGGACAGAACCTGGCTGCTCTGAAAGGGATGAGTGGGGAGGTAGAAGAGGGATGAGGGAGGAGGCCTTGGGAGAGAAAGGAGCTGTTGTCCTTTGCACCTGCGATGAACTGTCCCCGCAGACTTTAGGGTTAAAAAAGAGAAATCTGGAGGGAAGAAGGCCACCTCTCTCTCTTGCATGCCTCCGGTGCCTGGACCTACTAGGGCCCAGCCACCTCCTGGGGGAGGCATGGGTGGGAGGGCCTGGCTGGCTCAGACTCATCTCCAGGGTGCCTTCTAGGAATAAGGAACTGGAATGTCGGAAGGGCCACCGTCTTCCGAGATCCAGACCCAGAAAGGAGGCACAGCCTTTGTGGCTTCCTTGGTCCTCTGTTTCTGATAAGCTGTCTTCTCTTCCAGACCAGGCACACAGACTACCCCCCCCTGCCCCGCCAAACCACATGGTCTTTCACAGCTCAATCTCAGAGGGACAGTGTGCATGTGTGAGATGGGTGAGCCTGCCGTGGACTGGGCGGGGGGGCGGTAGAAGTCAAGGTTTAGAACCACAGAGTCCGGGCTCACCTAGTGTTGCAGAAGAATTTTTTTTTCTTTAAAGAGAAAAGGATCTCTTTCGAATGTTAAGTATTACCCAAGCATTCTCAAAATAGAAAGTTTCATTGACACACCCCAAACAATCTGGTTTTGCTCTGTTTTTAAGGAAGAATTTTCCGACTGGCAGAGCCCTCCGAGGGGCAGGACTGCTGGCAGGGGTGGGCAAGGCGATGATGATGCTGGAGAGCTCGAGGTTGAGGCCTGGGTTGGTTCCTCACTGCGGGACCCGCTCCCTGGGGCTCTAGTGGGGAGTATGGGGAAACCCATACCAGGCCCTGTCTGAGGTGGTGGTACCCTTGACCTGCCCTTCTGGACTTCTACCTTTCCTGCCCCTCCTTCTTGGAGCCTTTCCTGGGCACCTCCTTCTCTCATGGCCTCAGTAGCGTCTCTCAGCGGATCATCCTGAAACTTCTATCCACATTTCCCTCCGGTCGCTAAGGGCTGCCAGATACCGGGAACTTCCTACCTAACCAGGCTCTGTGCTGTGTGCCTTCAGCTGTTCAGTGTGCTTGGGCCACACACTTCTAAATCTTGCCGTCAGCTGTTTATTGACGCTGTAACCTTGGGCAAGAGGCTTACTTCTCCGTGCCTCAGTTTCCTGCTCTTTGAAAGGTGGATAAGAGTAACGCCTACCCCACTGGGCTCAGGGAAGGCTTCTGTAACTCGATACAGACAAAGTGCTTTTAACAGCGCCTGTAGGTGTGTTTGATAAATGTTAGCCCCTCACACTGTCTCTCTGAAACCTCAAGGCAAGGCTCGAAGGTCCGTATTATTATCCCTATTCGCAGATAAAAACACTGAAGCTCAGAAGAGAGGTGGAGCTCAATTAACTTTCAGTCCAGCAGTTTCTCTGCTGCTCTACACTCATAGTGAGCCCAGAACCCATTCTTTTCATCATCATACTAGATTGCCTTTCTGTAATGGTTACAAGAAGGAATAAACACCCCGCCCTGGAGTTTGCTTTTCAAGTGGCACGTGCCTTTGAAAGCACGGCCGACCTGCAAACCAGTTCTGTGGAGAGAGCACTGATCCGTGAGGACAGACTTAAAACTATGAAGACAACCTGCCAGATAGTATCTCACTGAATCTTCACCGTGATCCTTGGTGACATTACCTTATCTGGTGGGGAGCTGGGACAGAGTCAGTCACTTCCCCACAATATGGTGATTAGCACACATTGGGATTGGGATCTGAGTCTGTGTCTGACTCCAAAATCCTGGCTGAGTCCCCGAGTCTCTGATGGAGCTTTAAAAAAATAGTAATCCATGCCCACTGAATCAGAATCTCTTGGGTGAGGACTGGGCATGTGACTTTTAGAGTCAGAATCCAATGTGCAGTCAACATGGAAAACCTCTCACAGGGACACTGCCTCTCCCAAGTGCCAGACACATATTTCCAAACGGCTACCAAAGAGATACCCGACCTGGGCACTGACCAGCCTCTCACCCTCAGCGGGCTCAGGGTGAACTCAGCCTCTCTCCCAACTTCTCAGGGCCTCCTACCAGCAGGCACCCGCCTTGTCTTCCCTGCTGGGAACCCCATCATCATGGCTGTTACCGCTCCCTCTCCATCCCCACTATAAGTGCTATTCAAGATGTCTCCCAAATCCATGCCCCTCCATCTTTGCTGCCTCCACCTTGGTGAAGGCCCTCATTAGGTCTGCTTTCCCCTGAGGCAACCAGGCAACTCATCTCCCTCCGGCTGTCTCCGTTTTTCCTTCTCTGTGTCTCCATCTCTTGCTAGGCTATTCCCACTCCATCTTCCCTCTTCCCTCCAACCCCAAAGACCAGCCCATATCCTTTCCCCATCCAGGTTAATGAACTGAAAACTATCTCATTGCCCTCTGCTTTAAAATTTCCACTGGCTCTAGACCACTCCCCCCGCCCCCCCAGCCCAGCCCAATATCCACAGTCCTTACTTAGTACAGCAAACCTAGACCCTCAGCCCCTGAGGGTCAGCTCTAAATTCCCTCCTCCCTGGCTGCACACACCATGTTCTAGCCACACAAAACTTCCCCCAACCCCTTAAACAAACCATGCCCTTTCACAGGCTGTGAACATGTCACATTGTGCCTCCTGCCTGAAGTGGGCTTCCAACCTGGCTCAGCTCAAAGACTGCTTGCTTTATGAGACCAAGTTCAAATGTCATCTCCTCTGGGAAGCCTTCTGGGAGTTCACACAGCAGTGTGGGTACTCCTTCCTCTGTCCTTCCCCAGCACAAGACTCTTCCATCTTCAGTCACAGGGAGGGCGTTAGAATGATCTGATGACATGTCTGTCCCTCCATGAATTCCTCATTCAACAATCACATATTAAAGGTGTCCTACAGCCAGGTGCAGGCCCAGGTGCTGGGGATGATGAGTAAGACTCAGCTTCTGTCTTCAAGTCTACTGTGCGCGCCAAAGAGAGGACAGGGCACTTCAGAGAGAGGGCATCGCTGGTGCAAAGACCAAGAAGGCAGGGGCAGCTAGTCTCAGTAGGTGTGTAAGGAAGGATGCTAGGCCAGAGTGGCAGGGGATGTGGTGGGGTGATCAGGGGAGGCAAGAGGTCTGGAAGGGCCACCCTCACCCGACCCGAGGTGCTCCCCGGATTGCCCCAAGACTCCATCCATGTGATGGATCCAGGGCTGGAAAGGACTATGATCACACTTGTGGCTCAAAAAGATCGCCACGAGTTGCCCAAGACTGTGTCAACCCCCGCACCTAACCCAGGTCCTGGAGCGCGGCAGGGCCTGAGACGCAGGAGCTAAGGCAGGAATGCCCACTGGGCAAAGAAGCCCCTGGGGTCCAGAGTCCAGAGGCTCCCCAGTGCCAGCAACTAAGGCTCGCTCCGCCCCACCCCTGGGGGTGCCCACAGGTCACCGACTCTGGCTATGCTGGCCCTGTTGCTGCTGTGTGCCTACCTGCTGCTGGCGGCCCCCGCCTCGCGCGCCTGGCCTGGCGTGGACCCGGAGGAGCCCGGCTCCAGCACGGCGGCGCAGATCCGCGACATGCACGAGAAAGTGACGGCTATCTGGCAGGAGCTGACGCAGCGACAGGCGGCGGCCGATGGCCCGGACGCCGCGCTCCACGCCGCCTGCCGGGTGGAGCCGTCGGCCACGCTGGACACCGCGCAGCCACGGGTGAGCGGCCTCGTGCTCTTCCGGCAGCTGGCGCCCGGGGCCCGGCTCGAGGCCTACTTCGACCTGGAGGGCTTCCCGGCCGAGGCCAACAGCTCCAGCCGAGCCATCCACGTGCACCAGTTCGGAGACCTGAGCCAGGGCTGCGAGTCCACGGGCGCGCACTACAACCCGTTGGCCGTGCCACACCCGCAGCACCCGGGCGACTTCGGCAACTTCGCCGTGCGCGACGGCCGCCTCTTCAAGTACCGCGGCAACCTCGCTGCCTCGCTCGCCGGCCCGCACTCCATCGTGGGCCGCGCCGTGGTGGTGCACGCGGGCGAGGACGATCTGGGCCGCGGCGGCAACCCGGCCAGCGTGGAGAACGGCAACGCGGGCCGCCGGCTCGCCTGCTGCGTAGTGGGCTTGAGCGGGCCGCTGCCCTGGGCGCGCCTAGCGCAGGAGCACGCGGAGCGCAAGAAGCGGCGGCGCGAGAGCGAGTGCAAGACCGCCTGAGAGCGCCCCTCCGTGGTCGCCGGGGTCACAGAGATCCCCCCCTCCCCGTGGCCCCCGACGCCCTTCCCCTCCGCGCGCGCCCCAGACCTGTCCCCTGCCTGCCACAAGTCTCTCCCTCTGCTCCCAGAGACACCCACAGGCCGGGTCCCAGGGCTGCCATGGCTGAGGTCTCCCGGAAAATCCCCTCCACCCCGACACCTCCAACCACGTATGCGGAGACACCCCTCTGCTTCCAGGAGGCAGCCCCCGCCCTCTGAGACCACTCATCTTGAGCTCTGAGGGCCCGTGGAGGTATTGAAATACCCTATCTACCCTCCCAGACCCCCCCACTCCGAGGTTCCTTCCCACCCTGTCACCCCACCCTCATTCCAGGAGCCCTGAAATCCCTCTTTGCCCCGAGGACTTAGCTCTTCCCACCCCGTCGATTCCTTCTAGGAGCTCTGAGACCCCTCCTGGGGTTACCCAGCCCCCCATGCCCGCCTAGCCGCCTGTCGTGCACCATGCCAGCAAATGAGCCTGCGGTTAGGCACCCCTGCCCCGTGTCCTCTCAGCTGTCTGTCGCTCGCCCACTGCCACCCCGCAGAGAATTGCTCCTTTGGGGGCTGTTTGGCAATCTTTGTGTTCGCATTAAAACTCAGCAATTCAGACTTGCACTGGGGCCTTGGTTACTTATTTTGTTTGTCTGAGGCTCTGCTCCCAGGCTCAGCTACTCTTCGGAAATAGCAAAGATATTTCCCAAATCCGTGCAGGATTTCTCCTTATCCTCCTCTCTCCAAGTCTGCTGGCCGCGGTATTCAGTCACTGGTTGCCTTGCCCTTCCGTGGGTCTCCGAGAATGGAGGGCACCAGGATCACTCAGGAACGTGAGAGGGGGGAAAAAAAATGACAGCTTCCTGGGCCGGAATCCAAAGGAAAAGATGGACATCTATTTGCAGTAAGCTTCCTGGAAATTCCCAGGCTGGAGCCACCGACCTGGCACACAGCTCATGCCACTTCACTGGGCCTGGCATCTCCCAGCATGTGCCTCTAAGGGCAGCCCGAGGTCCATTTCCCAGATGTTGGGGAAAGGGCCAGTGAAGCAGTCCAGTGGGCAGTTTACAGGGAGGTTGGTATTGCTGTCAGAAGTTGCTGGCTTTCTCCAGGACCCAGACAAGGACAACGTTCTTCTTCTTGACTTCAAGAACCATGGAGCCCAATGGTAGGCTTTGACTTGGATGTTCAGCCTCTCTTTTTAAAAATTATAATCTATACACAGACTAGAACAGAAAGTGTTATCCACCTTTGTTTATTTTATTTTTTAAAAGATTTTACTTGTTTTAGGGAGAGTGTGTGCTTGAGTAGGGGGAGCGGCAGAGGAGAAACAGAGAGAGAATCCCAAGCAGACTCCACATTGAGCATGGAGCCTGATGTGGGGCTCAATCCCAGGTCCCAGAGATCATGACCTGAGCTGAAATCAAGAGTCCGTTGCTTAACTGACCGAGCCACCAGTGCCCCTAAACACCTTCACTGATTAAATAAAAACACTCACTTCTTGGGCCGACTCACTCTGTAGCTGTAGCTTTTTCTCCCTGTTACTCAGAGGCAGCTTCCATTTCTCCCAGACTCTTAAGGCCGTGAGTCAAATGGAACCTTAGCCAGAAACCCATCCCCAGTGGTTATTTTTGCTTCTTACTAGGACTAACTTGTTATTTAAAAATCTTTCCTTGAACCAAAGTGACAACCAGAGAGCAAGGTTTTTGCCTGGTGGCTTTGCTCCACCAACTGGTTCTCACTGGTTTGAAGTATTAGCCAGAACTGTGCAGATCAGCCCTAAAAGGGAACTAGCAAATGGAGTCTCTAAATATCCTGATCTCACCAGATGTGCGTGCCTATCCCCACAATTAAAAGTTGTGAAAACAGGGCAGGAATCACATAGGACACTCAGTGGAGCCATAAACACCGCATGGATGGATGCCCAACACCCCATCTTCGACTCTGCTGCTGCGATTATAGGTTAATTCAGAATCATCAAGGGAGGTTTGGACTTATTTTTAGAAGGAGGCTGGTGCTAACCTTCTGTTGTAGTCCATTTGGGCTATCACAAAATATCACAGATGGAGTAGCCTATAGACAACAGAGATTTCTCACAGCTCCAGAGACTGGAAGTCCAAGATCACAGCATCAGCATAGTCAGATGAGGGCTCTCTTTGGGGTTCACAACCATGGACATTCACTGTGTCCTGACTTGGAGGAAGGAATTAGAGATCCCTCTGGAGCCTCTTCTATAAGGCTCCCCCTATCACGACTTTGGGACCTCCCAAAGGTGTCACCGCCTGTTACCATCATTTTTGTGGATTAGGTTTCCAATGTATGAATCTTGGCAGGGGGTGGGTGGGTGGGTGAGGGGCAGGGGATACAAACTTTCACATCATAGCACCTTCCGTTCTTAGTTTCCCTTTTCACTATCTTTGCCCCCCCAAGACTAAAGAGACACCCTAGCAGACCCATTTATTTATTTTATTTTTTTAAAATTTTTTAAGCTTTTATATATTTATTTGACAAAGAGATAGAGATCACAAGTAGGCAGAGAGGCAGGCAGAGAGAGAGGGAGAAGCAGGCTCCCCGCTGAGCAGAGAGCCTGATGCGGGACTTGATCCCAGGACCCTGAGACCAGGACCTGAGCCGAAATCAGAGGCTTAACACACTGAGCCACCCAGGCGCCCCCTAGCAGACCCATTTAATTTCCTTTCTGTCCATCAAGGGGAATTGGATTGATAAACTATTCTGTGGGACTCCAGAGACAAGAAACAAAGAAAGGAAATAATAGAAGGGTCAATTACAGTTCACTGTAAAGGCAAAGGAATGCATTCAGCAGGGTGGTTGACAGCTCAGGCTCAGGTACAAAGGACTGTTTGGAACCCCACCTCTGCCACAGATGCTGTGGGACCCGAGTAAGTCACTCCACCTCTCTGGGCTTGGGTTTTCTCATCTATAAAGTAAGATCATCATACTGTTTTGAGGATGAAATCAAGTGTTATTTGTGACGGGTATATAGCATAGCATGAAGGCCTAAGTATCTAGTACATGTCCACTTAATAACAATGGCTAACGGCAGAAAAATAGTTAACCTACGAATGGATTAGACTATCTTGTAAGGTAATGAGGGTCCCGCAACTAGAAGGATTCAAGTAAAGGTTGCTTTCACTTAGGTTTGTAAGAAAGTTTTGGCATCGGTGAAGAGACTGGCTGTGATGAACTTTGACCCCAGGGGGTGGTCGTGGTGGGGCGGGGTTGTTCTGAGAGGAAGGAAGATGGTGAGCAGTGGAAGCAGGCATCTGGTTTGGGGCACAGAACCTGATGTGTGCCACCAAACCCGCCCACTGGACCCCACTTGGCCCCTGGAGGCTATTTTTATTCCTCTCATCTTACAGATCTGTTTTGTTAATCTCCTTATATTCGCTGTTTTGACTTCCCAGCCAGCTTGCTAATCAGTTTGCCTGTTTGACTCACAGGGTTTGCATTTGTCACTGAGACTTAAACACACACTTGTTTTGATTTCTTTTTGTAAAATTAGAAGCGTTTGATGTAATGACTCTACCTAGACACAGCTGGTAAAGTGAGAATAATGCTCAAGTTTGCACAGTTTAAACACAATGTAGACAATAATTAGAAATGCTATCTTTAGATGTTTAGGATAAGCTTTTCTCAGAATTGCAGTGAATTTTTTCCGAGTGGGGCTTTTCAGTGCGTGTATATACAGAAATACTAAAAACGTAAGAAAATAGAGCAAATCAGTGAGTGCTTTGGTCAACTTGAAAGACTGCAGGAAATAAACCAACTGATTTTAGATCTGGCATTTTTGACTGAATGCATAAAATCTTTACATTCTCCATAATTTTCACGACTGCCATATGATCTAATAATTTTAGGTGACAGATTGCAACTGATAAGTTGTTAGAATGCGCTAGGAGGAACGCTCAGCCTGTATCATTGGCCTGCAGCGAGGGTGGAGAGAGAAAATGGTGCAAATAATAAAGATAATCATCTGTACCAGGAAAATTACCAAATGTTTATTTCAGGTAACAAAAAAAGATGTAGTTATATTACATGATGATCGTAGAAACCAATAACACAGGGTCTGCAAATGAATAGAAGTTACTTCTTTCTTTAAACTACAAGATAGCAGCTGGTTTGCATTTTTTTAAAAGCAAATTGTTTTAAATTTAATGGGCTATCACTAGCCTTGGCCAAGATCCAAAATATATTCCAGGGCTCACATAGATTCCAGAAAGTCAAACTTGTCAGTATTGTACAAACTTTCCCTATTAAAAAAAAAATCCCTCTCAGTCAAGAGGTGATCTGAAATGTAAGGTCGCGCATCTGTATCTTTCATTTTAAATTGCCTTCATGCTGTATCAACTTGTTTTGTTTTGTTTTGTTTTGTTTTTGTGAGCAATCATAATATCGAGAGACAGGTCCTTCTTATTTTTTCTGCTTCTCATTTCTAATTAGATTCACTACTCAGCTCTCTATTGCATCTCTGATTTTCAAATTTTTTCTCTGTTCAGAAAGACATGTGGAAAAAAAAGGAATATATTAAAATAATGAGTTAAGGGGAATCTTTTGGCTTCTTGACATCCTGACTGAGCCTGGTCTTGGTACCCTAAGTATTTATTAAGGAGGGAGGTTTTTCCAAATGGAGGCTTCCATTTGGAAGCCTTTCCATTCCATTGCTTCCATGAAAGCAAAGGGCAGACAGAGAAGGTACTCAAAGAGAGGACTCTTTTTTGTTTTGTTTTGTTTTTTTAAGATTGTGTTTATTTGTTTGAGAGGGAGAAAGAGAGCACAGGCAGAGGGAGTGGGAGCAGCAGACCCCCGCTGAGCAGGGAGACCAACATGGTGCTTAATCCTAGGCCCCAGGCCCCTAGTGTCATGACCTGAGCTGAAGGCAGACTTTTAACCTACTGAGCCACCCAGGCGCCCTGAGAGAGGAATTTTTCAAAGAGAAGTGGAATATCAAGCCATCCAAAAGGCTGCAGCAAAGCGATGGGGGCCAGGAGAGGCCCCATTTTTTGGAGGAGCAGAAAACCAAGAGGGGAGAAGGCATGCTGTAATATTAAAGAAACAAGGAAGGTAACACCAATGAGCAGGTAGCTGGTCTTTGAAATTCCTTAAAGACGAGATTGAACGTCTTATGTCACATGGTAAGTGCAAATGCTCCCATGGGACTAACACATCCGAAGATTCACCCCAACACGTGAATGACTGATGCTGGAAAGCTTTTTTAGAATCCCCTGTCTTGGTGGGTGTTGGGGATTGAGGGCACAAGAGTCACAATGACGGGAAAATGTGTTTAGTTAAAGAGCCCGGAGTGGTTGGAAGCTTCAGCTGGGATTGAGCTGAATGCCCCCAGGAGCCTCCTAGTTAGAGAGGCTTCTGGAACAGCTGTGTGAGGTGAGGAAGACGAGGGAGGGGGAGAGGAAGGTGGGCAGAGGCGGCATGGAAAGAGGAGTTAGGGATGAGAGACGCCTGGTTTGAAAAAGCCAATCCATTTCCAGAGACCTTAATTAAAAGAACGACACATGCTCATATGTAAAAATCCACACCTAAAGGCTCTCAGGTACAGAGCGGTCACCAGAAATGCAGTATGTGCAAACGAGCTTTCATTAAGAGACTGTCAGCTCTGTTTCATTTATCCAGACTGCTCTGCATTCTGCTGGCAACCGAGCTGGAAAAATAATGGAAGGACAGACACACTCGAAGAGGCAAACAAAGGTGGGAATGTCCCAGCTACAAAACAGAACAGATGATCAAGCAGCCAGGGAAGAGCCGAGATGAGATGGCATTCTTCTTAACAAACAACCATGGCCCCGCCCCCCAGCCCCAAACTCATGAGTAGCTCAATAGTCTGCCTTTTCAAGGGAAGAAAATGAAACAAAATCAGAGGTGGGGTTCAGAGACAATGCTGCTGTTGGCCTATTTAAATCTATTCTCAACTTTCCTGTACTGCTCAATTTTGTTTTGCTGTTCACCATTTTAGAGTCTGCATGTCCAGGGACGGGCCCTCCCCAGTTCACATGTGAGGAGCCTAAACCCTTTTCTGGAATTCCATCTCCCTCGTCAGGGTTTGGTTTAGACATAAGCATGTGATAATTATGACCATTGACATGCGACAAGAAATAGGTTTCTTACTCTTACTCGTGCACATGCACACACATGCATGGACCCATGTGGGAAGAAACTTCCTTCTTGCCTTTGGACACAAATGTGAGAATAGGTGACTGATGTTGGAGCTGTGGCAGCTATTTTGGCAGCTTGAGGGAGTAGCTGACCCTGAGGTAGGCAGAGAAGAAAGATGGAAACCCAGATCCCTGATGACTTCTTGAATAAACCAGCCCCAGAATACCCTACTTCTGAAGTTCTTGTTATGTAATATAATTCATTTTCCTATTGTTTAAATCTCTTAAAGTGTGAAATGTAGCTGAGCGTGCTCAGACTGATGCAAGGCTAGCTGGTGGAACAGAGCAGCTAATGCTGTGCACTTTCACGATGACTCTCAAAAAGACAAGACAGCCATAAGTAACTGCTGAAACTCCCTTTAATGTCTGTGGAACAGAGGAACCTCACTGGGCTGGAACAGCAGGGGTGGGACAGTGTCACGTGTGTGTATGGGGCATTGTCAAGGTTACTCATGTGACAGGATCAACTCATTGGCCCCAATTCCATCTAATAACAGAAAACTTTCCGAGGTAGACTGCATGCACAGTTTGGATTTTCATTCCCTCTGACCTCCCTACCCTGAACTCCACACTCTCTGGGACTCACAGTAGTTTCCCTGCCCGTGATGGAATGTGGCGGAGTTTATTATAAGTGCTGCTTTCCCAAAGGTGATGGAATGGGCCCTAAAGACGTGCACCTGGCTGACTGCACGTCAAAACCACCACTTCTGTGGGGAGAGATATTTTTCTTTTTATTATTATTGTATTAAATCTGGCTGTGATTTCCTTTGGTGGCTCTGGTAGGCTATGCAGTAGCGCTGAACATTTGCAGATAGTTAAGGCCTGGTGCCGCAGGAAAATTATTTCCGTGCCTGCTGGCTTGTGCGAACTCTGCAGCTGCAGAAGCTGCCTCCCTGGAGAGGAAGTCAAGGGGGCGGGGGTGGGGAGCCGGGAGAGGCCGAAGCACAGAGGGATGAATGGGGCTTTGGGGGCTAATGGTGTGTCCAGATCCCAGCTCCTGGGTCCGGGAGCGACAGAGCACTGACCCGGGCATACCCCTCTTCCACTATCGGGGTGATGTCTGTTGAGTGGGAAGCAAGCAGCTGGAGGCCCACCCCGGCCCCAAGCTGGACCTTCTTGCCTACACTTCACTCTCCTTCAGGGTGAAAGAGCGCAAAATTTCCACCAGCAGAGTAAGGGCAAAGATGAAATGTGGCAGGGAAGTTTCCGGATGGGCGGGTTCACAGGGTTCACACCTGGGAGTGTGCATCTGCTCTACACATCTGATATTTCGGATAAATTTGCCATTTTCCCACCTCGGGAGCCTCTCTTTTCCCTCAGGAGAGCCTCTTATAGGAGTGATTCTGGTTCTCAAGGGTGTTTTGAGCTCTGGGATATGGTATCAGGCCTTTCTGGGGTAATGAACTGAGTTTTGCTCAAAGAAAGGCCTATTGTTTGATGAGTCTTCCATTTTCTGCAGCTCTAGGTGCCATCCAGAAGAGCTAATTTTAACCCACCAAGGTTAAACCAAGGAAGGTCGACATCCCCTCCCTTCCGACCCTTGGTCCTTGGTTCTGCAGCCCCCCAAAACAAGCTGTAATGAAGTTATTTTGTTTCCCTCTCTTTTTCCACTATTGGGCCGCGTGCTCTGTGTCTCAAGGTCCGGTACCTGGCAGCACAGGGAGGCAGCCTTAACCCACTGCAGGAGGAGTGAAGGTTTCACGTGGCACAGGAAACTGGATGGGCCCGAAGAGTTTCCTGCCCCAAGTGCTTATCTTGTCCCAACCCCCCATGGCCACAAAACCCCCATAGGCAGCACAGGTTGAATGCAGAGAACCAGCGCTCCCAGGCTCTGGCTCTTATCTCAGAAATGAAAAAATCAAAATACCACTGGAGTCCCCTTCCTCCCCTCTCCTCCCTCCCATCACTCCAGGTCGATTAATCCTTCGGAATTACAGGCTGGAAAACTCAGCTCAAGCAGTCCACAAACGGGTCTCCACAGGGGACGTGGATTTCAAACAGGAAACCCAACCTTCTGAGCCCGCTTAAGCCCTTCTTCACCCGCCAGTCGGTGGCATGACAGACAGGGCTGTGGGCAGGGTGCCAAGAACACCCACGCTGGGAGGTCCTCCGGGGCCCTGACATGATGGAGCGGAGCTGTGGGCCCTCTGGACCCATTATGCTCAATGCCACTTTTCTCTCCAGCGGCCTAACCATTACAAAGATGGGGGACCTGATTAAAAACCCCATCCATTTCACGCTCTCCCCATAATTTTGATCGACAACATTAAACGCTAATAGAAAAATGTCTTATCTCTAATAAAACAAATGCTGACAGAAAGACGGATGCCGAAAACTAGCCATATGGCTGACACGATTCTGTGCCCGGCCGTGTTCACAGCAGCGCGTCTCCGGCAGAAAGAGATGACACCGAGAAGCTTGAGGACGCGCATTTAATAAATCAAACTGGGCTGGCATCATCAGGATATTCACAGTTTGCCAAAGGACCTGTGTCTCTTCTCACTTGTAGACTTGGAAGTGTGTGAGGAGAAAGCAGCTTCTGAGAGCTGCTCAGACACTTAATTCTTTACCGCCCCCTGCACTGTAGACGTGTCACCACACGGGTCTCTTTTCTCTTCAGGTTTTCACTGCGCTCCTCTTGCCGCCACCCTTTGGGGTCTCTTTGCTGTCCTCCGCGCTGGAGGCTTCGACTGCCGCCTGGCTGGACTCAAAGGAGCCCAGGCAAGATTTGGGGACCTCCCCCTTGGAGGCCAGGCCCGGTGGGGCTGTCCCTGGCTCATGCCTCTGAGTCTCCCCGAGACTCGCTCTTCTGACCGCTTCCGGTTCTGCCTCTGTCAGTTTCATTCTTTCCCCTCCAAGCCTGTTTATGCCTTCTTCCTCAGACGCTACCCGGGGTGATGAAGGATGAAAGGGGTTGCACTGGTTCCCATGGCTCTGAGTTGCTGGGGAGCGGCTGGCCGGCCTTCCAGCATCCTCTGGTGCTATCAATGCCTCAGTAGCGGCCCGGCTTTCATCTCGTTCTGGCCTCTGGGCCTCCCCTGAAACAGACCCAGGACAGCATCAGACATCTGGCGGGGAGTCAGCCCTTGCTTCCTCTCTCTTCCCAACCTCAGGCGCACGTCACAGGGGCTCGGAGACAGAAACTGCTGCTAAAGGGACCCACATTAGTAAAGAAAGTAGCCACCCTGGCGACTGCGGTGTCATTCACGGAGGGAAAGGGTGCTCATGGTCATGGACATCACCCATCCCTTCTGGGAGCCTGGTTATCTCCTGCTTCCCCCTCTAACTGTGCTTCTTTGTGCCCATTAAGCATCTAAATTGAGGACAAAGGTTCTGTAGATTCTGCAGCTCAGGAAAGACCTGGGATCTTTAGTCATGAAAAGAGGTGCTGGCGGCCTTCCTGGTGGGAAAGAGAAGAACGATGTGGGAGGCATTTAGTATCCCCATCCTCCCACTCATTCTCCAACAGCTCCTCATTCTTCGATGCACACTGCTGATGTTTCCTCAGTGTTAGTAAAACATTATATGCAAAAGAAGCTTAAGCTCCCCACCCCTCCTAACTAAATTGTTCTACCCAGGCCTCTTCTCTGAACAGCAGACATTTTCGAGCTCGACTGCTGGGGAATGGGAGAGAATGGGGTCCTGAGAACTGGCGCCTAGCCCTATTTTCCTACCTAATCATTGTGATCAGGAGAACCTGTCTGGCCTCCTTTCCGCAGACACAAATTGAGGGGCAGGAGTCTCTGATGTCCCTTCCAGACCTAAGCCGCAGAGGCTCTGTAGGATGGACACACACCTGGGGAGCAACCTCTCAGCACCCGGTCGTCTGCATTCGACCCCAGACTCTGAGGTTCCCTAAAGTCAAGATTTTCTTAGCTCTCAGGCCAGAGAGTGGTGACATGCATGGAAGAGCCTCATAGGGCTGGTTTCAGAGGCCAGAGCCCGGGGAAACCGGGACCAGGGTAGAGTTCCACCGTGATCCAACTGGCTTCAGATACATGTAGACAGCTTCAGCCTGACAGCTGGGATTTGGGGAAGCCGAGGGAGAACTCAGGACAATTAGAAGAAGTTGACCTGTCCTGACCATGCATTTTTCTGCTTAGGACCTTTCGCCGGAGCCTAGCTGCTTCTAGAATAAATTTTAATTCCTTTCACTCAGGTCTCTGACAAGGTCCTACCCAATCTGCTCCTGATTCAGCCCGCAGCCTCGTGTCCGATGGTTCTCTCATGTCTGTGTGTCCTTCTGTCCATACTATGCTGGCTTTCGGTCTCTGCAGGCACCTGTGGTTTCTCCCTCTTAAAGTGAATCATACCAGCCAATTCTTTTTAGGTGCTTTTCTGTGCTGGGCTCAGTGCTCAGCATTGGACACGTTGATCTTATTCTAGAATGTAAGCGGGGGCCTCGCCTGACTTGTACACAGTGCTTGGCACATTCTAAGCATTCAAGAACGCTTATAAAAAGTTCCTCACTTTCCTTTTTTTCTTTTGTTGGGAGTCTAACGTACATAAAAGTGTGCTGACTGTTACGTCTACAACTCACTGAATTTCACACCGTGGACACACCCATGGAACCAGCAGCCAGGACAAGAAGCAAAATAACCAACCACTACAGACACTTCCCAGTCTGTCTACTCCCCTGGACCCCTTCCTAGTCACTTTTCTGCCGAGAGTGACCACTAGCCTACTTCAGATACCAGAGATGAGTTTTGTCTGGTCTTTGGCATTGGCATACCAGAATCGTACTGGAAGTGCTGGTTTGTGTCTGTATCGCTTTGTGTATATGAGATTGGTCCATGTTACTGTCTGTAGAGTGGGTTCATTTGATCGTGCCATGGCATTCAACAAATATTTAAGTATGGAATGGAAACAGGTAATTCACAAGGACATACAAATGGTTGGCAAACATGAGAAACGATGAGATCACTCTAACTAAAGATATCTACTGCAAAGAGATACAATTTTTCATTTACCAGACTGGCCAAAATGAAAAGGTTTGATAAAGCTCAGTGTTACTGAAGATGTGGGGTTAACAGATGCAATCATACATTACCAAAGAGAATAAAAAGGAGCAAAACTCTTTGACAGGGCATTGAGGAAATATCTACCCCAATCCTAAATACATTTACCCTTTGACTCAGTATTTTCATGATTAGGAATCAACCTATGGATATTAGCCCAAATACTTCAAGATGTATGCACCTAGAGGCTCACAATGACATTGCCTTTTAAAAAGGTTATTTATTTATTTATTTGAGAGAGAGAGAGAGAGACTGTGTGAGTGGAGGGAGGTGCACAGGAAAAGAATCTTCAAGCCGACTCCCTACTGAACACGAACCCAACATAGGGCTTGATCTCAAGACCCATGAGATCACAACTTGAGCCAAAACCAAGAGTCGGATGCTTAACTGAGTGAGCCACCTAGGTGCCCCATGACATTGTTTTTTTAATAGCAGAAACCTAGAAAGAATCTGAGTGTCCGTTGACAGGGGATTCTGTATATACTTGCTGCGCTGTAAAGATTTTTTGGAGGCATACACTAACACTTACAGTTTTCCTCTAGGGAGCAAGCTGAGGGTCAGAGCAGAAAACAAGGATGGAGGAAGGCTTTAAATTTAATTTTATACCTTTCTGTGTCATTTACATTTTCTTTTCTTTTCATTTACTTATTTTTTTTAAGTAGGCTCCATGGCCAGCATGGAGCCCAATGTGGGGCTTGAACTCAAGACCCTGATTTCAGGACCTGAGATCAAGAGTTGGACGTGTAAAGGATTAAGCCACACAGGCGCCCCTTCTGCGTCAATTACACTTTAAACATGTGTTTGTATTACTAGTTTAAAAAGATAAAATATGCAACCTCCAAGATTTTTTCACCAATTACCATCTTGACTTTCCTTTTCTGCACTGAACTGTAGACCTAGGAGCCTATATCCACTGCTTCCCCTTCCCAGTGCTGACTCACAGCTCAGATCCTTCAGCCTGCTTTGTATCCTCCCTACCAGCAAGCAAGCTGCTGTCACCACCTCCAGCACTCTTTCTTCAGTCCTCTCCTGCCCCCTCTGTAGCATGTTTCTGATGGCCACATCCTCCTCTCAAGCTGTCTCTCCCTTTGGTTTCCAAAACATTGTATTCTTCTGTTTTGCCTCCAGTCTAGTTCAGTCAGCATGCTATATTAGTTTCTCATAGCTGCTGTAACAAATTACCACAAATTCCATAGCTTAAAAGAACATACATTTATTCTCTTATAGCTCTGGAGGTCAGAAGTCCAAAATGGCTTTCCCTGGGCCAGAACCGAAGTCACTTGCCCTTGGAGGCTCTAGGAGAAGATCCATTCCCTGCCTCTTACAGCTTCTGGTGGCTACTGACACTCCTTGGCTTGCAACAGTATCCCCCATGTCTGCATGTGTGGTCACACTGCCTTTTCTGTGTGTGTCAAGTCTCCTTCTGCCTCCCTCTTACAAGGAAACATGTGCTTCCACCTGGATAATCCAGAATACTCCCTCCATCTCAGAGTGGGTAAATCAATCACACCTGCAGATCCTTTAGCCCACAGAATCTAACATTTACAGGTTCCAGGAATTAGTATCTGAAATCTCTGGGGCCATTATCAGCCTACTCTGCATGCCTTCTAGTTTCCTTTATCCATCTCAAATCTCCTTCTGGCCCCTCTGATTGCCACCCCCAACTACGTGCCATGCATTTCCCTTGCTTCATTCACTTTCACTCACTGGCCAACTCATGACCTTAATTCTGGACCATGAGCACCGCTCTCCATTCTATATCCATGGCTCTGACCCCTTTCTCTTGGATACACACAACCAGGTTTCTAGCTGCCAGCTCGATTCCTCTACCTGAATGATCTGGAATTCCCCTCTCCCCAAATCTCTAGATGTCCTCATGCCTGCCACATCATACCTTGAAGCCACCTACATTGGTGTATTTCCTACCCATCAACCGCCAAGTACCACTTATATCCCTCAATACTATTGAACCGAATGTATCCTCTCCTTATCCATGTGTGGATCGATTCATGTGTGAAAGCCCTAATCCTCAAAGTGATGATATTAGGTGGTGGGGCCTTTGGGAGATGATTCAGTTTAAATGTGGTCATGAGGGTGAAGGCCCCATGATGGGATTAGTGCCCTTTAAGAAGAGGAAGAGACACCAGAGTTCTTGTTCTCTCCCCCACTCTTACCCTCTCTCTCTCTCTCTGTCTCTGTCTCTGCCACTGAGGACACAGCAAGAAAGCAGTTGTCTGCATCAGAAAGAGGATCCTCACCAGACACTGAACCTGCCAGCACCTTGATCTTGGACATCCCAGCTTCTAGAACTGTGAGAAATAAATATTTGTTCTTTAAGACACTTTCCTGATAGAATTTTGTTATAGAAGCCTCAGCTGATTAAAACACTCGTAGTTCCTTGTATCTGCCTCTTCCTCTCCTTTCCCAAGGCAGACACTCTGTAGTCATGGCTTGATTTCTTAGGCTTCCCTATATAAATCACTAGGTACATTTCCCCAAAATTTCAGCTGGATTTGACTTAACATCGCCTCAGCCAATGAACAAGTAAGCATTCAGAGAGTAAGTGCAAACCACTCCTGATAGTTCATAAACCCACATCCTGGCAGGCGATAGCTATGTGGTGACTATTTATAAGAGTTATATGAATTTTTAAGGATTAGTTATAACATTTAGAAAGACTGGGTATTCAAAAGTGCATACATCTAACTACATGCAGCCTAAAAAGTCGAAAGATCTAAAAAGTTTGAATTAAAATGCAGCTCAGAATTTCTACAACACGAAACAATAATACCCTATGTGTGTTCCATTTTAACTGTGAGATGGTGCATAAAGGTATTTGTTAATAAGAACAGTATATGGGGGTGCCTGGGTGGCTCAGTTAGCTAAACGTCTGCCTTCAGCTCAGGTCATGATCCTGGAGTCCTGGGATCAAGCCCCACATCTGGCTCCCTGCTCAGTGGAGAGTCTGATTCTCCCTCTCCCTCTCTTTTTGGCCCTCCCCCTGCTCCTTCTCTCCCTCT